AGATGTTATATAGCCCACAGCCTTCCTCGATAACTGAACTATCCAACACAAAAAGAATTATTCAATTCGAATCAGTAGTTTCGGAGATTAGCGCTTTCAAACAAACAAACTCTTAGCTTTATAATATTAGTATAGATGTCTTTTGGATCATAATATTTTATTTAATCCAACCTACTTGATATACTTCTCTGATACGATGCAATTACTTTATTGTTATTTATAATCTGATACAACATTGCTAATCTTAAATGTTTTATTTCTGTATGTACTAATTATTATCATACCTTTTTCTCTAGAATAATTAGTTTTTAAAAGAATAGTATCTGTTATGCCACTAGAGGAGGCTAAAAGTTTTTGTTATAATAGATTTATGATAGATTTACCTTCAACTGTTTTCATTAATAATATTTATATAAACCGCATTTATCATAAAGAAAATTATTATTGTTGAATTGAAATGAATTATAGTTATTGTGGATGTATTGTATTGTCTTTGATTTTTATTAAGCAGTAATACTTGTACTTGTTAAGCTTATATGTATATATGAAATAATAATACTTTGGGACTCCGTATATACATCCTTCAAATGAGTTTGTTATAAACACAAATCATAATATAATATGAGTAAATATAATCTTCAAATTCAAAGTCTTAAGCTATCAATTAAATACTAATGTGTGTACATAATGGTCTCATATGATGTATTATTCTGTGACTTATCTTTCATACTATTAATATTTGTATACATACAAACGTAGAAAATGTCGAATTGTTTAGAAAATTTATTAAAGGTATTTTATTTAATTTATTATTATGGTTGTAGAACTGAAACATGTAAATAACAAGAATAGTGTTACAAGTGGCGTCATCTGTGCCATTCTAAATGTAGGTATTATACTATAATTCTTAGAATTAATTTTGACTGATTATAAATAATAATAAATTAATGTAGATATTGCCGAGATGAAATTGTTCAAACCTGATACTTCATTTATGTTAGTTAAATAGCAGTTATATACATAAATATTTGTTATGTATTGTAAGCAATATTTGTAATTATTTATTATTAACTATAAAAGCCCCTTAATTTAATTTGATGATGACAAGGTTTGAGTATCAGCTTGTACATATTTGTGATATAAATACTGGCTTCAGCCTTTTTGTACGACATTACTAGAAGTAACAATGAACATTGAAAATCAAGACTGAAACTGTTCCTACCTAAAAAGTAGTATTTTACTGTTTTCTTATTATTTAAATATTGTATGTTGATACTTTTCTGTAACATTTGTACAGACAGGATCAACTGAGGGACAACAAGCAAATAAGTACAAGATGAGTTTTCTTCATTATTTATACAGTTGTAGGAACAAAATATTTTTCTTTTTGTCAATATTGTTTTGTATGAAGGTTTGATCAGTAATTTTTTTGTTCATCTCATTATCATTGCATTTGTACTATTTAAAATAATACTTTTTTATGAGAATAGTTGTAACCGACAGTAGTCACCGTCTCCCATGGACAGTGTTAACGCTCTTGATTGGGGACGAGGATAGGAAGGGGAGGCAAAAGGGAAAGGCCAGGAAAGCGTGGGAATAGGGAAAGGACAGCCGTCTCTCTCACTCATAGGACGAAACGTAGACATTAAAGAGTACTTCACGTCGATCTTGGTACTTCTCCGCTCGAGCCAGCCCATGTTCGAGCTGTAGCAACTGACCACAGCTAGACTCTACTACCTTCATTATACTACACAGTAGGGATTTAATTGTAAGCATTAAAAAATTCAGAGACTATATGTGCTATCTAGATATATAAAAGAAAGTCGTGTTAGTGACTCCACTTATAACTCAAGAACGGCTGAACCGATTTAGCTGAAAATTGGCAGGGAGGTAGTTTAGAGCCAGGAAATTGCAATAGGATACTTTTTATCCCGTTCGACAGCATTCCCGTGGGACTTGACATGAAACGTCAGTCACTATAAAACGTGGAATAACGAAACAAAATTGACAACTATGCAATTGACGTATAATGACAGATATGTAATTTAGTATTTGCGGGATAAATTTAGAAAATCGTTGTTTTCCACATGAGCAATTATAGTTTGTGTGTTGACGAATTGGGAAACCATCCGCTTTATTTGTTTTAACGTTAGACAAAAAAACAAAAAATGTTGTTTACAAAGGAGCACTTCAATGAAACGGATAATTTGCGGACACGTATAACGCTGTGATTCGGTATCTACTTTGGATTCACTTTCATTTACTTAGAAAAGTTCAACTAAATAACACTTCATTTTTGTAATCGAAATGAATTCATCACTGTTGTGAAATGAAATAAAAATTTTCCTTTTCAAATATAAAACAAAAAAAAATCTTCATCTTTTAATCACCAAACGAAATGTTACATAAAACAAAGCCTACTGGAGGCGAAACGGAGTTCGCCAGGTTTACTAGTTACTTATAAAATTGTATATCAAAACATTTAGCCTATAACAATCAGAACGTTTTTAATTTCAGATCTAGTTTTGCACATTAAATAACAAAATTTGCATGTACTTTTAAAATCAGAATTCTGTTGAGAGAAATTATCTCTTATTTTTAGTTTTGTAAGTAGTCAGGTAAGGAACAAATGCGAAGGCTCCTAATAAATCGATAGATATAAATAACACAAGAACATTCAAAGTGGCAATAAAATAATATTTGCTAAAACTGAAAAAGTTCACAAAGAATGTTTATTGAATCTTATCAAAAAATTCAAAATACGGTACTGAGTTGGTTGTTATCGGTACATATTTACAACTCGACAATAATTTGCTAGTCAACCTATTATAGGTGACGCTGCATTCTACGCTTTAAATTTTTGAAAATTGTAACTAATTTTTATACCCAGTAAATATATGTATATGGTATAAGACGTTCAGACAATTTATAAATAGAAAAATAATAAAAAAAACACACATGGAATATGTTATTGATTGTTAAAACAAAATAGTTAATGATAAGAAAGAATAATTAAATATATATTACTAGTTTTTGCCCGCGACTTCGTCCGCGTTAATTTCAACATTAGTAATATATGTATAGCTGACCGGGCGAACTCTATTCCGTCCTAGAGGCCGTTAATAATCAGGTTTTTCCTGTTTCAATTGAACAGAATGATTGACATATTAGTTAGTTGTCAAATCTAATGTCAAAGAAAACATTTGTATGGGAAATAGAAAAGGGCTGTTTTTAGGGTTTTCCCGGAAATGAATCAATTTTTCTCACCTTTTATACCTTCCCTGAACCTCCACGAACATTTCAAGACTAAGATAAGATAAATCCGTTCAGTCGTTCTCGAGCTTTAGCGAGACTAAGGAACAGCAATCCATTTTTATATATATACTAGAAGACCTGGCGAACTTCGTATCGCCCTATAATCAAGAAATATCTATTACGTTTTTTATTTATATTTTTGGAGTTTACCTGTAAGCCATAAATCTCCGTGTTTTTAAGTGTGACAGAATGATTGTCATATTAGTTAGTTGTCAAATCTAATGTCAAAAAAAACGTTTGTATGGGAAATAGAAAAGGGCTGTTTTTATGGTTTTCCCAGTAATGAATCAATTTTTCTCACCTTTTATACCTTCCCTGAACCTCCACGAACATTTCAAGACTAAGATAAGATAAATCTGTTCAGCTGTTCTCGAGTTTTAGCGAGACTAAGGAACAGCAATCCATTTTTATATATATAGAAGATAGAAGATACAATCTGAACATACTGTGCTGTATATGAATGTTAAATATAAAATTCTACTTTGGTCTGAGGAAGTATAAAGCTTCTTTAACTGAGACCACCTTAATAATTCGTGAGTCAAGGAAGACTCGAAATATTTCAATTATTAAAACAATAGCTTATATTAGAAGTACAGTTTATAAAAAAGTATTCTACAAAGTCTAGCACGACGGCTACGTTTACAGTCTGTTCGAACTAAAGGTGTTAGATAGGTTCGTGTACATTCGAGCATACTAATCAAATCGTTGTTTCAACTATCAAGTGAAGGGCACTCTCTTCTCTCCCTGGATCACTAAAGGCGGAATACCCTTAAGACTCCGTCCTCTCCTCACTTCAATACTAGTCATTCATGAGCAGTCTCCCGGTACCATACATACCCACACATCTAGCCCTATTGGCGGATGACATCGCGGTGTGTACATACTTCAAGCGCGTCCTACTACATCGCCTCTCAACTTCAAACAGCGGCCAAAGCCTAGGGTTAATAGTTCTGATGATGGAACATAAATAATTCTGTACCCCATATCAGTATGTATGATCATCATGAGAATTTACGTTTGGTGTTAGCGAAAGCTGGAAAAAAAAGACAGATTAAGTTATAAAAAATACTTTGTTCTAGTTAAATTTTGAACTTAGTTTATAATTTTCTAAAGTAGTGTCTCAATTCAGAGGTTTACCCCAGACTGTATATAGGTTACTCCTCTCCCATTTCCACCGATGGCTCTGTGTCAACATTTGTTGCTCAACACCATTGTTGTGCTACTTATGTAATGCTCCGGCTGTGCTTGATTTACACAGAGAAAAAATCATTTTACATTTTAAAATGTCCATGGTAAATTTCTATTACAAGTAGCTCCATTATAAAATACTAAGTATATTCTAAAATTCTTAAAATAAAATTAATGACTAATTATAATAAATTATAATACTGAACCATAGTAAATTTGTAACTGTATTAACGTAAGTATTACTTTGAATGTGAAAACTATAAATACTAGCTTTAGCCATTTTGTAATACACTACTGGAAGTGACGCTGAATATTAAAAATCAAGTCTAAAACTTCAACTGTAAAATACGAAGAAATTAGGCGATTGATGGCGTTGATACATCAACCAACCAATGTTAGGTTTTGTTTAAATAAAACTAGGACTTGTATTTACAACATATTTATTATAATATTTCTCGGTTAATCGGTTAATCCTTTTCTCGGTTCTACAAACGAGAATGACGCGATTCATGCTCAGCAACAACTATTTTAGGCCAAATCACCAGAAAGGGTTTTTACCCGGGATTTCTGGATGCCTAGAACACAACACCTTGCTGTCGGAGAGTTTGAAAGATGCTAGAAAAAGCGAGCGGCAAATTACTGTTTGTTGGATAGACTTAGAGAACGCGTTCGGGTCGATACAACACGAATTGATGCTATTCGCACTTAGATGGTACAACTTTCCACCCCTAGTTAGAGATATGATCGCGTTGTATTACTCAAAATTGAGGTTTTCTATAATAACTAAAGAGGGCCCTTCAAAAAGTTTGAGTTATAATGTAGGACTGTTTCAAGGTTGTTGTCTATCTCCAATTGCGTTTAATATCGTAATTAACATCTTAGTAGACAAATTAACCTGTAACGAGAAAAAATGGGGTTATCGGCTTAAGTTTAATAATAAATACACGGAATCCATTTTAGCCTTCGCTGAAGATCTCGCAATACTGACACGTAACCCCAAACACTGTCAGGTACTATTGGATGAAGTGGATAAATTCTGTGAGTGGACGGATGGGTTGAGGACAAAACCCAGTAAATGTCACTGTCTGTGTCTTGGTAGACGGAATACAAGATACACCTCATACGATCCGGGACTATCGTTAGGTGGTCAATGCATTTCTACGGTTACGGAAAATGCACCATTTAAATTTCTCAGTCGTAAGATAGATAATGTAGGCCGTACTCCATCTTTAGAAGGAATAGTAGATAGCTTTTTGAACGATCTTAACAAGGTAGATAGCCAACTGATCAATAACGTCAAAAAAGCGTGGATCTACGATAATTGCTTAACTTCACGTTTGAACTGGCCTTTCCTCGTCTATGATTTTAATAAAACCCTTTTTGTCAAAGTTGGATGCAGGCGTCATAAAGATGTTGAAGTTGTGGCTCGGGCTCGCGCTAACGGCTGATTCATCGGCGTTATTTAGGGGAAGCAATAGTTTTGGGATGAGTCTAAAAAGGCCATCGGAGCTCTATAAACACCTAAGAGTTTCCAATAGATATATCCTGGGGAAATCCCATGATGACGTAGTGACATCGCTTCCAAAAGATGAAGATGCCCCCGAGCTAGAGTCACGACTTCAATTCCATAAGCAATTTATGATAGGAGCACAAAGTAACAGAGTGGGGTTAGGATCAAATAGGAAAGTCCAAGATGCGGATATATTGAAGTCTTTTATTCGGCAAGACGAGAATGATAAATATAAGATCCATGCAATGAATTTAGAAATGCAGAACGAGTGGTTAGACATAGGAGATTTTTGCATCCCATTAGCATTAAAATGGCGCACTTTAATTTATGATTGGTCGCCAGCATTGCTAAAATTCTATCTCAATGCGTTCCAGATGACTCTCCCAGATCAGAGTAATTTAGTAAGATGGGGTAAAAGTACCGAAAAAACTTGCTATATCTGTAGAAAGGCAGTTGGAACTGCTAAGCATCTGCTGGTGGGATGTAAGGTACTCCTGGACAGCGGTCAATACTCGCGTCGTCACGATAGGGTTCTAGAAGTCATACGTGAAGCGGTTAATCTTTCGGTAGTCAGAGTGCAAAAGGAAATAACCACAAACGAACGATCAGTAGGTTTTGTGAGAGAAGGCACTAGGGCTACAAAATCAAACGTCAAGCTTTACTCCATCCTTAAAGCGGCGTCGGATTGGACTATAATGATGGACACGCATGAAAAACAATATAAAATCCCCGAGGATATTTGTGCGTCGGCCTCCAGACCGGATATATTTTTGTTTTCGCGAATTTTAAAGCGCGTAGTGATGATAGAGCTTACGGTCCCTTGGGAAACCAACATCCCCAAAGGCCATACCATCAAGGTCAACAAATATTATGAGCTCATAAACGAACTCACTCGAAATAGGTTCGTAGTAGATTTGTACGCGGTGGAGGTGGGAGCGAGAGGTATAACAGCGAAATCTCTCTATAAACTACTAAAGGACTTGGGCTTGTCCAGAACTCACATTAATGCATTCTTGGAACGTACATCGAAGGCAGCCCTGGTAGGTTCTTTTCAAATTTGGTTAGGTAGGGAGAGGAGCTTGGACAGTGGAGGTGAGCGTATAACGCGCGTTAGTTAAAGGGCTCCTTAAACTTACACTTGGGTCGCAAGTCACTGTTGAAACTCCTCTCCCTGCAACGCGATGGACCCTGCACCCGCACGGTGAATCCATGGAATGCTGAGTAGTTTCGTCTCATATTATCACACGATTTAAATACTCTTTAGTAACAGTGATCACGGACAGACGAGATGAAAGTGTCTACCATTTAGTATTACATTTACAATTACTCTTACTTACATTATTACAAATAATGTAAAAGTACATAGTTATACTATTTACAATAATAATCCAACGCGTTTACGTTAGAAAGCCACATTCTGGAATATCTTACGAGAGATTGTGGGAGGGGAAGGGGGTTTAAAATATATGTCTATACACATACATGTTTTAAAGGTATTGGAATTTTAATGTCTATTATTTTATCGTACACCGTTTCGTAGCCAATTAAGATGACTTGGTGAAGTCGTATATCTCGTTTATTAACGCCGCGTGCTCAACAAATGCGTCGACTCAGGCGATGGGGTCGTTTTCGCAAGCATAAAGCTTGTTTTCCAAGACTGATAGTAAGGGCGGATGGAAAGGCTTTTTTGCAATGAGATATAATGGCAGCTTTTAGTTGTTGACTTTCACAAGGTCACCGGAAGAGTGGGCCAGTGCTGAGACCATAGCTGATAATACACTATATTATAAAGTTTTCCATCGTTTAACTTCATGGTGAGTGTTTTTTTGCACATAGGTACCTACTAATTGTTACTTTTTTTTATTATTGACGTTCAAATTCAAATGTTTATTAAGTAACATTTTTAGTTTTGTTTAATATTTGTGTACTAGTTTTTTTTGAATTATTCTCTAAGCGTAACAATGACCGCAGGGTTTTTCAACGTTATATCGTTTTAATGGCCTTCTTTATTATTATGTTTTTCAAATCTATTGTCATAATAAAAACTAGAATCATTCGTTACGTTACAGGACTCGTAGAATATATAATTCAAGATGAGGGTCGAAGCTGTTGGTGGAGCGTCTGTTAGGACGTGGTCTGCGGACGAGAGGAAACCTTCTATGAAGACAAGTGTATGTAGCTGATGTACGATAGTAGTGTGACGGTATGTACTGTTGGTTACTTTGTTTTAAGTTATATTGTACATTTTAATGTTAATTTCTCCATAATGTATCTCTTATATTGAGTAAACCGTTATCGACACATTCATTTTTAAATTCCTTATTATGTGTTGATATTATATATAATGAAATCCATATGGCGTCTTTCTAGAATAATCGACTATTATAAAAGTGTTTTAATAGTGTTATACTTTTTAAGTAAAATTAATTTATGTGTTTAGTTTAAGTATAAACATTTATAATTTTTGTATGAATCCAATATTTCAAATCTATCTATCTAGCTATCTACCCATGGGTAGCGTTCCACACAGGACTGGGTCTGTCTCCACGGGTGGACAAGATTCACTAGGACAAAAAGGTCAAAAGAGCATCAAACGCCTTAACACGATGTTACTTATTTAACAATGATTGGTGAAACTGGGTCTAAAAAAAATAATACATAAAAACAGTCTTGTTTCCTTGTACATATAATATAGTATGTTCAAAAATATGTATATATACAAATCTATATATATCATTTAAAATATGTATAAAAACAGATAAACTGAATTTTGTAAATGTCACTACCGTCAGTAAGTTTAAAAGTAATCTGACGTACTGTTTTTGAGCTTCACTTAAACTCAGTTTCTGGTGTATCATCTTTTTAATTGTTCTTATAGCCTTACACAATAAAATATTAAGATAAACGGACGGAAAGACCAAAATGAAGAATATATATTTCACAGACAACCTAAGATTTATAACAACATGTAATAATTTCGTTTTTAATCCAAGGGATACATATCAATTAGTACTTACTTAATTTAATATAATTTTTTTAGACATTTTAAATTCGTAGAGGATAATTGTCAATATTATCGTATTACTTTTTCTTAAAAAGTATGAACATAGAGAATGAAAATATTGAATGCAAAGTAGTATGACATTATGGCCTTATGATAACCAATTTCTAATATAGTGTATAGCTTTTGCCGCGGCTTCGTCTGCGTGGAATAGTTACTTCCGACAGATTTTTGGTTCTTCCCACATAATTCCCGTTCTTGCGGGGTTTTCGGAATGGTCGAGTTCCCGTAGAATTTTCAGGATGAAACCTATGTTTTTTTTATTAATAATGAAGTACTCTTAACCAACAACATATTTATTTGTTTAAATGAATAAAGATTAATATTATTATTTTGATACAACTTAAACAAATTATTTCGACAAAATTAGGTACCATAAAAACGGTTTTTGTGAGCTAATCTTAAAAGATAGACATATACTGTCGCGGACTGTTTTTTAGATCATTAAAAGAGCTATGATTCTTTAATACATGTTTTTTGTGTATCTTGAACCGTTTTCACGGCGCACGCAACGGGAGGCTTCAAAGATGAAAAAAATTCTCCCGTTTTTTTTACACATTTACCACTATATCTTTGGTCCTATTGGTCGTAGCGTGATGTTATATAGCCTACAGCCTTCCTCGATAACTGGACTATCCAACACAAAAATAATTATTCAATTCAAACCAGTAGCTTCGGAGATTAGCGCTTTCAAACAAACAAACAAACAAACTCTTCGGCTTTATAATATTAGTATAGATTATTGTCTATGATGACAACTTTGTCAATATTACGTTGAACACCCCAATATTGTTATTTTCTACATAAAGCGCTTTAACTAGTTATGTAAGAATTAAAGTAGTTTAAAGATCTCTTAAAATTATGGTTTTAAAATAAATAATGTGCATTTCAATTTAAACGTAATAAAATAAAAAATATTATGCGACTTCAAACTTATGATAACTTCCTTTACCCATCTCTTTCGAACATGCACCTTATACGTATTGCTAACCTATTTGCACATCCAAATTTGAATAGAATTACTCACTAGCTGTCGTTATATGACTTCTTACTAGTTAGTACTTTACTTACTAGCATTGACAGAACCTTGCTTTTGTTTTCGCCACAACTCAAAATGTTTACGCTATTTAAGCATGTAATTGTTAATGTATGTTAAATGACTTAATTAATAATAGTGTTATAGCGCTCAGTGTTTTTTAGGTATAAATTATAATAAAATATGGAAGTTCTAGCGAAGTGACAATTTCACCACTAATTTGTATGATCGTATCAACTAGCCGCGGTTAGATTTTTTTGTGCATTTTGTGAACTTTTCTAAAGGAAGAGAGACCCAGTGAGTTTTTGTATTCTCCAAATACGAATATTTTTATTATAAAAAGAAAGCCTACAAAGTATCTTATAAATGTTATGTTTTCTTTTTAAGTGTCTGCCGTTATCAAATACATTCTTTAGTTTACTCAATTTAAATTACATACAGCCCACTTGTTTGTATTTATTGTTTTGAACATATTATTTCGTGACTACATCCACGAAAACAAATTATTTACTGACGAAATGAATATACTTTACTCATTTTTCTACTCAGTTCTTGTAATGGCATTTTTGGTCATTTTTTACATGTTAATTGTTTTAAATTACATTGATTACAGAGGAACTACAACGTACTAAATATAAATTGACGTAATTTGCGAAGTATCTATAGTAATTTATATTTGTATATTAGCGCCCGAATATTGTTTTAAAAAGTCTTAAGATTTTTATACGGTAATTAATGTAAATTCGCATAATCGATGATAAAAAGGCAAATTCGTTAAAAAAACTTTGTCTTTTTTTTATACGCATGACTTATATGAGATGTATTTTTTTCAAAAATACTCCTTTTAAAATTTAGAATTATTCCGTTTAAATTCATTTATTTTGCAACGTAACAACTAATTTTGTTAAAATTTTCATGGCGTCTCATTATTACTATGGCGAATATATGTTTTTCACCTATTATATAATTGCTATTTCTAAATTTATCTGTAAGAACACCACGTTGTCAACACATATAACGGGATTCGGAAATAATTAAAATTGAACAACTATATAATTCGCATTAATTATCGTAATAAAATAAAGTAAGGTTATAATAGTTATTTCGCAATTGTCATGAATAAAAAACTTAAAAGAGTTTCTAGCAACCTACATCCGATATAAATTTAATCAGGTGAAGCAAAAAAGCATCACAAAACAGTGGTGTACACAACCGAGATGTATATTCAGTAAACAGTAAATAAAGGCGACTTGAGTCACTATTCACGTAGATAGGTCTTTTATAAAACCTATTTGTTGTATTTATTGTCGTGGCCAAAATAAGCATGATTTAAACTGATGCTTATTTTTAATTATAAATGGTTCTTTGTGTAGTATTATTTATATAAAGTAACTTGTTTTTCTTGTTTGAGATGTTTTTATTTTATAGTAAAACAATGAATACTTTTTATTTTATAAATAATTTAACCAGCGTCGACTGTTACAGGTAACGATTGGTACGCTGTCTGTCGTACCAGTAATAGTCTGATCCTGTGCGATATAGCTCGTGGTCTAACTAGCGAAGTGAGTTATATTTTCTATCGAACTTGTATATAGTATTAAAAGTTTATAGTCCGTTGGAGGGGAGCGTATATATGCAGCTGTGGGTGGAGCCTGTCTGTTGCAGCGTGCTGGCGAACTTAGTGTGGTGGAGTACGGCCTCGATAGAGTACTACAAACGGTGAGTAATTTAATTTATACTAAAATGTTTCGTATCTTATGGAGGTTCGTACTGAGCGTGTGAATCCTCACATCTGCTGACAGACAGACGATTGCTGTTATTGATCTTGTTACAGGTACGGAACATACAAGGAAAAGATTTTAGAGTTCCTTTGTTATGAAAAAAAAAAGATTGATTTTGTTGCATTATATTTATTATTATTAATGTTAAATGTTGTAGGAGTTCAGTTAGGGCAATGGTGGCACGAAGCTCGGGTGGATTGGTTGGAGCTGAATGAGAGCGGACATCTGCTTCTGTTCCGT